GTTCGAAATATCAAGTAAAATATTTTTATTTTGGTTCTTGTTCTTTTTGGCGAAAAGGAATCTCTTCTTTTTTCTTCTTTCCAGCCGCAGCTATTTTATAGTTTTTCTTTTTGTTTACCTTCATTCTCTGTCATCCAAAAAAACGTTTTCGTACCAGGATGAATAAACAGTTATCCTGGATGATGGATGACACACGAGAATAATTTATCCAAATAGTGACACATATCATCCTCTATCATCCCCCGTGGTATATGTGTATTTAGTGATGATGAAGTATCTTAGGGTATAATTATATTAATATTCTAAAATGTATATATTTTATAAAGGTGAAACGATGAGCAATTAATCAACGTAATGAGTCAATTCTTGGTTTTATTAGTTGAATCTGATTTGTCTGTTGAACGATCATCGTCATCATTATTGGAAGATAAAAAATCTCTTCGTATGAAATATTAAGATGTAAAATTTTACAGTTTTATTTTGATATTGAATTCTTTTTTAATCAATTTAACATTAATCATAATCTAATTAGGATTATTGTAATGATAAGTTTCTTAACAACAAATTTGATAAAGACTTAAGGAGGAGAAGAGGGAGGAGAGGAGGGAAAAGATTATCAATTGATAAAATAGAATTGTGAATTTAGGTCAATTATATGATAATTATATATTTTTATATTATAGATTATATTTATATTATATATTATATTTATATTATTTGATCGAGATTAATTTAATATTTCTTATTGTTAAGAATGTGTGTATATTACTTGATATCCTATATACAAATTATAGTGTATGGAAAGGTATGTGTAGGTGAGTGTGGTATGATGTTGTTATGGGATAATATAATTTTATTGATTTTATTTACTTATTTTAAATGTTATAAATTTATTAATTCTTATTCTTTATTATTTTAATTATTTTATTTAAATTATTTTAATTAATTGATTTAATCAATCTAATGAGTTTTTAATAAGATGATCGGTTATTGGATGAAAAGGAAATCATTAATCAATAGATTTAAATTTAGAAAACTTATAAATTAACTAATTGATGAATTTGATAATAATTTTGTTATTAAGTTATTGATTCTGTAGTTAAGTTGGTTAATTAATTAATTTGATAATTTATTGTCTAAATTACCTTAATATCTTCATATAATATTTTATTTTTTATTATTTATTTTTATTTTTTTATTTTTTATTTTTACATAATTATTATTTATTTGTTATTTATTATTTATTATTTTTATTTTTTATTTTAGAAAATATATCAGATTTATTAAAATGGTTATTAAAATAAAAAGATATTTATTGAAAAACATTTGTGTTTATGAAGTGAGAAATAGAATGCTGTTTATTTATTGTTATTTTATTATTTCTCCAAGATTTCACTTTTTATGGTGGTGAAATTTTTGATAAAGTGATGGAAGTTGTGATGATTCTTTGTGATGCGAGAAGGACTGGTTTGTGTTTTTCAACTTTGTATTTTTATTTTTTCTTCAAGATTCTTTTTTGAGGTGGTGGAATTTTTGATAAAAAAAGTGGTGAAAGTTGAAGATTCTTTGTGATGAGTGTAAGGATTTGTTTGTATTTTTTAATTTTGTACTTTTATTTTATGACCTTCTTTTTATTTCAAATATGAATATAAAATTATCATAGTAAAAAAATAATTTGAGATTGAAAAATGAATTGATAATGTCAAAATTTTCAAATTTTTTGAATTGAATATTCAAAGATTAATATACCATTTATTTCTAAAATTTTTGCTGCAATTGCAAATATCTTCTTTTGAAGAATAAGTTTCAGTATTGTGAGTATTGTGAGTATTTTATGAGCATGAAATTTACTAGTTATATTAATGGAAACCATTTTTTAATTCTTTAATTTTTATCTAATTAATAAATTTGAGGCAAGACCTCGCTGGAACAAAAAAAAAATTCTTTAATTTTTATTAATACAAAAAATTAATATCGAAAATGGAGAATCGTTCATCAAGTATGTTGAATTTTTTTTTTTTTTTAAAAAAAATAAAAAAATTGAACGATATTTTATCATTTATTTATTTCGCGGAATTGATATAAAAATAAAATAAAATAATATAAAAAAATTAATGTGTTAAATTCCTGGAATTTCTATAATAGCGAATCTTGTTAGTTTATGAACAAGCGGGTCCCAAAGATAGAGACTTTAAATCAAATATTACTGTTGAACATCATGTTAATTATTTTCCTTCAACCACTTGGCCCGTTTTCAATTCTCATTTCAAAAGTCTCGTACATCTTGATCCTGGTCCCAATGATATAAAATTCATTCTTGATCAAGAACCTTATTCATCACCATCAACTTTTTCAACACGATAACCATTAATTATATCCCATTATTACAAAATCCTCCTTTACATTTGGCTATTTTAGTAGCTAAGGATTCTAATTTGGTTATTGGTGCGCCACCCGAAAAAGTTGTTAACGCAGAAAATAATTTATCGAGTGCTGTAGCTAGATTTAGATGTGCCGCTTATCTGTGTCAAGCTTTTACTGCCGAACAGATGGACCGGAATGGGTTTGGGAAAAAGTTAATTATTAATTAATTATTAACTATTATTTATTAATTATTAATTATTATAATTATTACTATCATTTATTATTTATTATTTATTTGTTATTCATTATTTATTACTTATTATTTATTAATTAATCATTTTATAATTATTTATTAAATCTCCGCCAAAAGCATATTGTAAAACCATCATATATTTGCGAGTTTCTGGATCTATTGTTATTCCATAAAATTTTATCGGGGATCCGATAAGACCTATTGTTTTCACATCTAAATAATTTTTTATTTTTTATAAAATTATAAAGTAAATATTTAATATTATATAATTATAAAATAATTTTGATATTTAAATTAAAAATTATTTCACCTCGTTTAAGAAGTTATCATTTAAACTTTCGAAATTATCAAACCTTTTTAGTAACACTTCATGTTGACCCTTTCTTTTCCATCATTGATACAATATTCCAATAATGAATATGTCCATCATTCCAATTAGCATAAATATTGTACTAAAACCACCTTTAGCAATTTCTTTAATATCAGTAAATCTATTATAAGGTAAGGTATCTATTAAATTCCAAAAACTTTTTGCATTCAATGAACATCTTGAATTAATTTATTTACGCCTGTCCATTTATGAAAATCATTTTTGAAATGCTTTGCACCATCAATCATTAAATGCCTAATTGCATTCCTCACATATACCCATTTTGATTTATTCTTTTCAACCACCACATATATCTACCCATTCAACTGCTTTAATTTATAATAAACTCTATTTTATTGGAGGATATGATCCTGGAACAGATGAATCTTTCTTTTATCTTGATTTAAATCAATCTTTTAGCGTACCATCTCCTGCACATATTAGTCTTAAAACTCCACCAGTAGGAATTATAGGAGTCAAATGTGTCATTTGGTAAGCTTTGTGAATTTTGCTGTTAAATTTCGAGAAGTATATTCATAAACACTTTGAATGTGTTGCCAACTAACTTCTTTTCCATCTATTATAATTTCTCTAATATTTCATTCTCTGCCTTCTTTAAGATAACTTTTTAAAAGATTTTTTGAATTTTTTTAAAAATATGGGTAGGATCACTAATAAAATACCATGATTGACTAGCAATTGGATTGACTATTTTATGATTTTGATTATTATAAAGAGATCTAACATATTATTCTTGTGAAACAAGAGCTACTCTCCATTCTTAATTAGTAGATAAAATTCTGACATCAAATGTTTGGGCTAATAAATCAATATTTATAAGTATAGATTCATACAATTTGTTTTTAGGAAAAATCATTAATTTCGCATTTCGATCATCTTATTTTTCACCAGACAAAGATGGATCCAACAAAGATATTGTAAATTTACTATGATTAAAATTTGTTGAAATAAATTTTGCTTTTTCATAATTGTTATAACCAAGATTTACTTCAAAAATCACTGGTCAAAATATTCCATTTCAGCTCAATTTCGGATGGCAGGTTTTCAGCTGAAAGGTAACTTAAAGGTTACCATTTTTTTTCCAAAATCTATTTCCATTTTTGGGATCAGAAACAAATATATCAAAATTGGAAAGAAAATTTAGTCAAATTCTGATAACAATCAGAAACAAATTTACCAAAATCGGAAAGAAAATGGTAAGCAAATTCAGTCTAAATTCAGATAAAATTAGAAAGAAAATGGTAAGAAAATTCAGATGACAATCAGAACAAATATAAATAAATTCACAAAATTCTGATGACAATCAGAAACAAATATATCAAAATTGGAAGAAATTATTATTTAATGATTCAAATTTGTATAAAATATTTTTTTATAATTATTTGCCAAAATATTGCTGAATTGTATCAAATTCACCAATATTCTTACTGAAATTTTACCAAATTATATTATATTCTTCAATATTCCTAAAATATTCCAATATTATAAATATATACCTGCCAAATATGCTGAATTGAATTATATTCCTATTAAGATATTGCTGAATTGTTATCAATATATAAAAAATATTACAATAATACAAATATATCCACAAATATACTTACTTGCAGAATTGCATCATATTCATTAATATTCCTATCAAATATTGTTAAATTATATTATATTCCTATCAAAATGTTGCTGAATAGACATCAATATTTAATATATATCATATATATTCCAATATTACAAATATATCCACAAATATACTTACTGAAATATTAGCTGAATTGTATCATATGCATCATATTCCTATCAAAATATTGCTCAATATTCAAAACATTTACTATCAAAATATTCCAATATTACAAATATATCTATAAATATGCTTATCAAAATATTACTGAATTGTATTATATTCATCAATGTTCCTATTTAATATACTTGCTAAATTTGCATCAAATATACTCAAATATTAATATACATAAAATATTCCATTACAAAAATGTACTTACTGAAATATTGCTAAATTGTATCATATCCATCAATATTTCTATTGGGGTTCTACAAAGTCAGATTGGATCAGATTTTTACCAATATTCAGATCTATCTGATATTCATTCTCATCATATGCAGATCCAACTTTTTAAAATCTGAATTTGATTTTTTAGTATATTCAGATTATACATGTTTCCAAAATTGATTTTGGATTTTTGATATATTTCATCTTCTCAAACTTTATGCAAAATCTAATCTATATATGGAAGCAAAAAAAGTACCTAGTTAGATGTATTTTTAATCAAAGAATAGAAATCAAGTTTTAAAAAATTTTGTTTTCTATATAAAATAATTTCATCTTCTATGAAAAACTATTTTGACTTTCAGGTCCCAAAATATTTCAACTTACTATGATAGCCTATTTTGCATGCAAGTATAATTCAGATCAATCCAAATCCAATCTGAATACATAAAAACATTTTGAATATTTTTTGTGAATTCAAATATTTTTATAGATTAAAATTTTTTATATATAATTTTTGATTTTTAATTTTGTGAATTTATAAAAAGTTAGGATATATAAAATCATCGATCATTGACACATATAAAACTTTTTATTTTATAAGTAAATATCAAAATGGTACTAATTAATCTTAAATATAAGAATAAATTGCATATTATATAAAATGAACAGATTCATATCATCAAAATCGAGTGAATAATTGACATTTTAAAATTTTTATCCAATTAATTTTAACTGTTCAGAATTCTCTCAATTTTAATTGTATAGGCCTGTTCATTTTATATAATATGTAACGTTTTCTTGTCTAGATAGTTACTTAGTACCATTTTAATACTTACTTATTAAAATAAAAAGTTTTATATGTAGCAATAATAGATGATTATTTTGATTACAAGTATTTTCTAAATTTACACTTAAATGGGGAATGGAAAAGTAATAAAATAACATTTATTTATTGTATCACAGGATCCAATCTATTTTTGGTTTCAGATCCTTCAGATCAATGGATCAATCCGAATCTTTTTTTGATTGATTCGAATTCATATCGGATTTCATTTTTTTTGGATCCAGATCCGTAACAGTATGATCAGATCCAATTTGATCCAGATTCGATCTGCGGAGTGATTTGGATTCTAATATTTTTGCGGAACCCTAATTCCTATCAAATATGCTCAATTGTATTATATTCATCAATGTTCCTATCAAAATATTTCTGAATAGTCATCAATATTTTAATATATAGATGAAATATTCAAATAAAAAAATATATCCACAAATATACTTGCCAAAATATTCATCAATATTCCTATCAAATATTGCTAAACAATCATCAATATTTAATATATATACAAAATTTCAAATAATATAAATATACTTGCTGAAATATTGCTGAAATGTTGTTGAAATATAGCTGAATTAAGTTGAAATAGAAAATGAACAAAATGTCAATATAATATTGCTAATTTCTTCTAAAATCATATTTATTGAAGAGCAATAGTAAATTTGGCACCTTTTCTTGAAGTTTTGTTTGATTTGGGTTTAAAGTATGTAGAAATGGATGGAAGAAGATATATTTATTAGATTTTCTTTCTTAAAATATAATAATATGACAGATGGAAAGAAAATATAAAAAAAAATAGAATAAAATATGTAAAAAAAAAGAAAAAGAAAAATACAAAGAAAAATATAGAGGAAGAAGAAAAATGAAAAGAAAAAGAAGGAAATAAATTTAAAAATGCAAAAAAAAGATAAAGTATAAAAAGTATATAAAAGTATAATTTAAGCTTTTCATTTAAACTTTAAAAGTATTTCTTTAAAAAATTTGTTGATTTTTTTCTGATCTTTCATATCAAAATATTTTGAAAATATGTTATTAAAAATAATTTTGATTTTTATAATGAATTTTATAATAAAATGGAATATAATATTTATAAATCAGATAAAAATAGCCTGAATACTAAATATCCAAAATGTGATCTTTCAGATATTTAAGATTATTAATATTCTGCATATTTTGGATAATTTTTGGCAATACATTTATGAAAATAGATGAAAATAATACTACCAAAAATAATAACAAATTTCATCTAAAATTCAGTATTCTGAATTTAGGATAAATTATATTTAAGATAAATTTCAGCACAAATTCTGCTTAAAATAGTAGAAAATGGTTGAATTTAAAAATATATAGCTGATTTTTAACTTTCTGCAAACATCCAGTGCTTCTGAATTTTTGCTGCATTTCATTAATAAAGCTGAAATTTTCCAAATTTCAGCAAAATTGTAGATAAATATTGCCAAATATCATATTTTTATTTAAACTTAAAGCCAAATTTAGGCTGATTTTTAAATTCTGACTGAAATTTACTGAGCTGAGAGATATTTTGACAACAAAACAGAATATCAGAAATATTATATTATATTTCAGCGAAAATTCAGCCAAAATCAGAATTCTGAATTTGGCTGAAATTTATTGACAGCTCAGGGAAATCGTTAAATTTTAGAATTTCCGAATTTTGGCTGAATTTATAATATTTTTTGCCTAAAATCAGCTGTTTATAAATTCAGCTAAAATTCGGAAATTCTGAATTTTAGCTGAAATTTAATATAATATTTCGATACCCCTCAGCTGTCAATAACTTTCAGTCAAAATTCAGAATTTCTGAACTTTGGCTGAATTTATAAAACAGCTGAAATATTATATAATATTTTTGACCTAAATTCAGCTGTTTATAAATTCAGCCAAAGTTCTGAAATTCTGAAAATTTATTGGCAGCTGAGGGATATCGAAATATTATATCAAATTTCAGCACAAATTCTGAATTTTTGAATTTAAGCTAAAAACATTAAATATAATATTTCGGCCTAAATTCGGCTATCAATAAAATTCAGCCAAAATTCGGGAATTCTAAATTTTGGCTGAATTTTAATAAAAAACCTTTATATACCGAATTGTTGCCGAAATATTTGGCAACAATTCAACATATCAAAATATTGTCTTAAATTCAGCACTAATTCAGAAATCCTGAATTTTGGTCGAAACTTAAAGCTGAATTTATGATGATTTTGCAATTAGCCGAATTTTGTGATTGCCGAAAGGCCTCATTTTGACTAGTGAAATATGGCTTTATTTTATTAAAAAATAGATTAGAAGGAAAAATATTTATTTCAATTATATTCTTAGGGCAAAAGAACATGCAAAAGAAGTAATAGATTTTTATTGAAAATAATAATAAAATAATTTAAAAAATATTTTACCTCAACTCATTAAGAACTCTTCATTAAATTTGAAAATTATCAAATTTTTTTTTAATACCACTTCAAGTTGGCAACCTCATTCCCATTTTGTTTTTGAATATCCCCATCAATCCACTTAACATAACGTATTATGCTAAAACGGCCTCTAGCAATTTAATATCCATTCTATTACTTGTATTCATTTGCATTTAGTTGAGCATCCCAATATATGTATTATGTATTTTATTTCCACTATATATCACAATCATTTTTGAATGATTTGATTTCCCACAGACTATAATATTTTTTGATCTTATTCTTCACAAAAACTTTTGATGGATGGGTATTGGAAAGAAGAAATAAATTTTCATTATCGGAAAAAATTAAATATCGTATGTTATACAACTTAATTACTTTCTATATAAAGTTGAGTTGGTTCATATTTGATATTGTAAAAACGTATGTTCAACTCTGGAGAGAATAACGTTACTTCTCGTTTATAATTTTTTGCTACTAGCTAAATTTATTATTAAGTACTTATTTAAATAAATTATATAAAAAATAAAGCGAATTTTATTTCCTTTTTTAACCTAAGGATTTATTCAAAAAAATTAGCATCCAGACTGGAAATAATTATAAGCGAATCATATAAATAAGGACTATTTGAAATGGATTTGACAAAATTCATTAAAATATTCAAAGATGATAATAACAAAAAAATTAAAAAAAAATAAAAATTTATTAATCAAGTGAATATTACAAGTATAAATTAATTTGCATAGATAGCAGCCATCTTCTACTGGGATTTGGTTCAATGAGTAAATAATCAAGTTTGTCTGAAATTTTGATTCTTTAATACCCAAAAACAATAATTTAGACTGAATGAACGGAAAAAATCATTAATATTTAATTTTGAAATTAAATTTATGAAAAAAATTAATTAAGTTATTACATTTTTAAATAATAACAATAATAATGCATGTTATATAACTATAACAATGATTCATGTAGGTCTAGATGTCTTGATATTTTTTTCAATTTCTTCTTTGCTTATCAAAGGACTTATCAGCAATGTACCAACCAATAACAGGTGAAACAACATATTCTTCATTAACCTTATCTTGCTTTGCACCAAAAAAACCTGCAGCAAAACTTAATTCAAATTTTTCTTCCCCGATTTTCACATCGAATGGAACATATAATAATCCAGAGGGTACTGCATCAGGAAAAATTTGATTATTATTATAAGGAAACAAAGCACCTATCCATCCATTCCAACAAGGAGATGGCACGCCACTAGCGTAAGGAACATCAAAGAGAGCCATGCTCCAAAATTTTTCGTCAACGTCTCCCTTATAGGTGGAGACAAATTGAGCGACGACTGGTTCTAACCTATCCAACCAGGAATCAAGTTCCAATCCTAAATCACGGATTTTTGCAACTTTTTCTTGAAGATGTAACCAATCTTCTAAGGTTCCATCAAGAGTGACCTTTGGAATACCACAACCACCACGTAATCCGTATCTGAAAAATTTTTTCATTGCATCTAATAAGATAATTTGGCTAGCAGCAATAGATGCATTTGTTGAGGTAGAAAAATCACATTCAAGATGTTTTTTTAAACCAACTTTTTTAACTCGCTCGTCAATGTCACCGGAAAGTCGAGAAATCGCTTGTGGCCAATCACCTATAAGATTTTCGTTGAAATATCCTATAATATCTTCGGCATTTACGGTAACATCTTTTTGACCCTCATGATCAACGAATGAGTAACGAAAATGTTTAGCATTAATAAAAATGTGCCTACTAACACCTTGTGCAACCGTTAACCATACATCATCTGGTGAGAATCGAAGATGTTGGTGAAGAGTATAAGCATGAATGATTGCCGAGGCAAATCCATGTTGAGTAGCCATGTTCTGGATTACAAAAGTTGGATTGGAATCTGAATTTTCTGCAAATTCAAATGAGAAAGCATGTATTTTACATTTATCGTTCCATGGTTTGAAATGAGCTTTAACATCTTTATGTTCGAGATGTACATTTTTTTGTTCAAGTTTATTAGTTATTATTTGGGTGCTTTTTGACGAGGTCATTTGTTTTAAAGCTTAAAGTTAATGAGAGCTTGAATATTATTTTACCAATCTTAATATAAAAAAATGCAACGGCGGTGATTATTTTTTTCCGAAATGTGACTGGTCACATGGGTCTATTTGCGCTCAGATATACTAGATTAAGTAGTATTTTAAATAAATATTTATCACGCAAAATTTTGTATTGATCGACAACAATAAAAATTATTTAATCAAGAAATATAGATGATACAAACAAATAAACGTATTTATACTTTATTAATGTGACGGCGCTCATTAAAATTATCATGAACGAGATAACTAACAGGTTTTAATATACATATAGGTAAGTTTTCGATAACATTTAAATTAATCAGAAAATTTCATTAATAACTGGGAATATTTAATAATATTGATAAGAGTAAAAAGAATTAAAATAACAAGAATAACAAGAGAGTTAAGAGAAACACACACGAAAGTTATTGATAATGACCCAAAATATATGGAACTTGAAATTTTTGATTGTCGTAATATCTCGATTTCCGCTATTAGAGAAACTTTAAGAAAAACTTCGGATTAAGGAATTACATTAAAAAGTAAAGGTCATAATTTTTCTTTTGAATCTAGTGATGATTTAATAGAAAATAGTGATGATAAATTATAATGGAAGGAGGGGAAGAAATTCTATAGTTATGGTTGGCTTATTAATAATAGATTTATTAGACGACTAATAATAAGAGGTGGATATTCTTGAGTTGGGAGGTGAAGGTGACAATGGAGGAGGTAATGGTAATGAAGGAGATTCTTTATGAATTAATTAGAAGCCGCTTTAAAAGCCAGTATTCGAGTTATTATTTGGTAATAGTAACATAAACAACAATAAAACAGCAACAAAAGCAACTATAGAATGGAAATAGAATCGAGCAGAAAATAGTGTTGGAGGTGGCGGTGGTGTCTGTTGTCATATAATATTGTAAAATGTATCCTTTATTTTATTCTTATTCATTCTCTCATGTCATTATTATTAGTATTGTTATTTTATATATAATTTTCTTTTTTATGTTTTTTTATTTGAATATTTTATTAATATTATTATTAAAACAATAAATGTACAGTATATGTATGCTAAATTATATTTATGTTAAATTTTACGTCTCAGAAATATGTCTAATATCACAATAATCACAATAATCATATGTAAGAATGAAATTACTATTATCTGATATATTTTTACATTATCATGCGATTTTTATTTATAGTTCTTCCACCACTATACGATCACCACTATTCGATTAAATTTATCTTTATTATTTTTTTCAAAACATACATAATAATTAGATTATTCTTATTATCAAGATCGTAAAAATTTGAATTTACCTTATTTTATACTTCCATCTTCCTCATTCTTTCAAGATTATAATATTAATTTTAAAAGAAACATTTGTATATCGTAAATTTTTTTGTGGCATTGATCACAACATTAACTTACAATAGCTTAAATTCATAAAATTTTGCCAATAAAAGTACGCATTAATACAGTTCGACTGTAGTTAATAAAGTCAAAATGACATCATATCATCATTTCAAATCATATATTCCTTTTCCACAACAACTACAACAACAATCATTGCCCCAGGTTAATTTAAATAATGAAGCAATTTCGACCTGATCTTATTGTAAAATCCCAATTCCAAACTTGCTGAAGAATTTGTGGAGAATGTGGATTAATACTTAAATATATATTAATGAAAAAATATTACTATTAATAAAGTAATTATTTATTATTTTTTATTCGTGTTTTGCGTTAATAATTGAGTGTTAACCCATGTTATCGCGAAAAATGATTTATGCTTGTTATACTTGTAGAGTTTTCTATACCTTTATAAATATTATAAATATGATTTGATTGAATTCTGATATTTATTCGTATAGCAAGATTACATGATTTCTTATATTTTCTTTTTTATGATTTTTACTACATAAAGGGTAAAGCACTGATCTATTAAAATTAAAGTAATCATTTTTAAAGTTATGTTTCAGAGTTAAATAAGGAAATCGCTCTAATACCATATTAATAATGCGTTATTGCTTTTCTTCCAGGTCAATTAGGTAGAACAGAAATTGGAAATTATCATTTAGATGGTATAGATTGAACATTTACACACGATATCGTTACCTGAGTTTTAGTGAACTGTCCTATAAGATACAATTATTAGCATCCTTTTTGATTATGTCAGCTTCACTGATTTGTGAGGATTCTGAATTTATCCAGGGGTCGAGCCCAGTTTCATTTTTATATCTTTATATAATTTGGAATGAATTTTATCCGTTAAAACATCAATTAATTCAGCTTGCCAATTTAAAAATTCGGGGTTAAGATTTTATCAGACTTAGTTTGTGTATTTATATTACTGTTTTATATGATTACAAAGCAATTTAATTCCTTGCATTAGATATTATAAAAAAAATGTCTTATAACCTAACTATTTTCAGGCTTCGAGTGACATGACAAATCTATACAATTATTTCGAAGCTAGTATAATAATGTTGATTCCAGATGCTTCACATTTAATATGGTAAGATCCATCTTTATATTATCCATTTATACCATCCTCATTTTCGTGATTTAACTTGCATATTGGACATGGCGCTTTAGCATTAATTCCATAATAATCAATGTTATTTTTACTCCTATATTCATAATATAAGTTGGAATATTACTCCAATGTTTTGTTGCGAAAATGAGCACAGGTACAAGTTGAGGTCTTTTGGGGTTGAGGTATAGTTTGATGCAATGTAGGTGATACATCTACTTCATTTTCTTTATAAGTGCGAAACAGATTTGTTTTGCAGTCATGTGATTTTTTAAAATGGAATTTATAATATTTTAAATATTAGTATCAGCTAAACATGAATTAGTAGTTGCACTATAAGATCGAACTTGCTTAATTTTATCTTTCCTATTGTTTCAAATTAATTATAAATTTTAATAATTCTCCGAGTTTTCTTACGCAAATTTTCACGTTATACCTGAAAGATGTTCAATTATTTCATCATAAATTTGGTCTCTTGCTAGATCATTAGCTCTTTTATTATTTTTGCAACTAGTCTCAATTCTGAAAGGATTAGACAAAATTTCACTAACCATTTTTCAAAGTCTTTTTCATAATAATACCAGCATAAAATTTCTTCCTGTTTAGCTTGAATTTTATTTTTTTTCACTAAACTTACTTTCTGATACAAATGAATTTAGCTCTGACAGTAATAGTTCTTTTATTGTTAAAATAAAAATATTTCTTAATTTCAATACAATTTTTGTATTAAACTTTGTTCTACCATTTGATTACAGGTAACTTTTTGATTAATAGGTGTTTGTTCCAATTTATGTCTCTTGGTATTAGTTTCACTATTGAAAATTCTTGATAAAGAAGTACATGGGTCAATACCCATGCTTTCATGCTGAGAATTTTATTGGATGTTTTCTGTTCACAGGAAATAATAGGAGTAGTATCCTGGGAAGTTATGATCATTTCTTGTTCTTGAAGCTTCTTTTCCTCAATACTCTGAATTATCTGTTGCTAATCTTTTTTTATACTTTGAATTCAGGAACTCATCAATTTCCTTATTTACTAACAATTGGTCTCTGTGCGAATTGGTGATGTGGTGCATCTTGGCTGAGCAAGTTCTGATGATGTAATCAAGGCCTTCAGCTGAGTCTTCGTTTCCTGGCATACATCAGAATTTGAAGTGTCATCAGTTATATCAGATGTAGGGGTGTCATGAGTATTGTTAGAATTTTCTGTTTTGATAGATATGCTATTAGATTCAAAGTGCCCTGCTCCACAGACATTATTTTCAGATGAATTATTGCCATTTCTAATCTATTGTTTTGTTTCTGCTCCAATTTTACTTTTTTTTTTTTTTTTTTTTTTTTTTTTTTTTATATCCAACGGAGTCTTGCTCCAATAAACTTTATTAATAGATTAA